ACACATTATAATAAATGGAGTTTTTTTATTATTAAAAGAAACAAGAGTTTTCAAACACATCAAAGACGAATCTGTGTAAAAAAATGAGTAAAATTACGAGTTTATTTTTTAATTCCTACTATTAGCTCACACTCTCTATTCATTTATCTTGGTGGAACTTTCAGTCGTTAATAAAATACATTTTAACGAGCTCAATTGAGCTGAAATTTGATATACATGATTATTTTGGATGAGAATACAATTTAATTATAATAAATAATTAATTGATTAAAACTAATTATTTAAATTACAAATACAGCCACGTTGGCATCATTTTTGGCGACTTAGTGACTATTTCGGTGACTTGTGTCAAAACTTGAAAAGGTTTTTTTTTTCACGTTTTAAAGCATTGAGTTGAACTGAAATTTTATATACACTATTGTTTTGGATGACATATATATATGATGGTAATAAATAAAAATTAATTACCACTTTCTGTTGTAATTCTGTCATATGTATACACATATTTATATTAATTGCAACTACTTAATAAAAAAGTAGCTAAAATAAAATTTTTCTTTGTTGATCTAAGTAGGAATTAATTAAAAAAAATTTTATATTACTTGTTCTGATTAAAATATTATAACAAATAAACAACACACAATCATTGATAAATTTATATTTAGATACAAAATATATAAATTATCAAATAAAAGTAAAATTAATAGTAAATGCAGAGTAAAACTAAACATAAGCATACAAAAAGCATTAAATTAGATTAAATTGCAAGTAACTATCGATAAAACAATTTATCTGATATAAATCTTCCTCCCATAAGACTTGTTGTAACAAGATATTTAACGCTGGATCACAAAACTTGAATCATTATTACTCTGTACCGTCGCACCTGGAAAGTGCCCAAGGTCTATTGGCGACAGACTTAGCAGTTTTGAACTTTATTCAGGTGAGGAGAAAAAGACCTGAGTCACCACTACACTCTCCAAGTTTCTACACCACACCAAGGTGAGGACTTAGAATCTCGATAGATTTTACGGGAATCAGCCCTTCGACGCAGTGTCTTGCATGACCATGAGCTCATAATTACGACCACTCTGCTAGGGATGGCGACTCTTTCCGAAAAAGATGGATTTTTAAATCGATTCGAATCATAACCGGATGAATCGATTCACAAAAAAATCGAGGTCTAAAAGATCGATTTCTAAAAAATCGATTTTTTTTTTTTCAAGTCTGCTTTTACAATGCAAATATAAATCCATTTTATGAAAAACAAAAAAGATACCATAATAAAAGATCTCTTATCAGTAAAATCAAGGAATTGGACTAATTACAATAAACTTTATTACCATATCAAGGTATAAAAGACATTTTCTAAATGTATTTGTTACATTAAAAAGTTTAGAAAATAGATAATATAGCTTATATAGTTCCCAATGCTTAATATCTAAGCTTTTTAAAAACAGTCTGTCGGGTCTAAAAACAAGTCTACAGGGATCCAAGCGGTCCCGCTCATCACTTGCGATGTTGCCGGCAATCGAAAATAGGCGCTCACAAGGAACAGTTATCCCACGATACTCATATACATCATGGCTATTGAGTGAACGTGATGATAAATAGAGTTTTTCTGCCCTTGCAGTAAAGTATAGGATCATACTTCAGGTGCACAACTGCCTGCGATAAATAGTGTTCAAATTCTTTGTTTAAGCCCTGGCATTCCGGTGCATTCAACTAATGGTAAATTATTTAATGGTTTTTACGTAAACAGAAAAAAATCGAATGCCGGTTTTCTAGGATGAAATATGGATTCACTGAATCGATTCAGAGCTACATATCGATTTTTTTGCTCGAGAAATCGATTCTTCGATTAATCGATCTCATATCGCCGTCCCTACACTCTGCTATCGTGGTCTTATCTTTGGGACAGTGAGTGAAAGAGTGAATATTAACGTTGCACTGTTCAGCTACACGAGGGCTTTTGGTGACGGACCTCGTAATTATCTTTGGGACATACACGTTCGAAATCAAGTTCAAACTTTGCGGTAGAGAAAATATTTCGCAATTTAGAGGGGGACCTTTTTTGAAGTTTAAGTCATACGCAACAGATTATTAAATTGTAAAATTATAAAACTTAATTTCAAAGTTTATTTGTGGCGTGTATTGTTTTGTAGTTTATTCCTACAATCAGAAAGCCTTCAAATAAGGTTTTTTCTTTTGTGTGAAGTTATGCGTTTAGTTTAATCATTCTAAAAGTGTCTTCAACTTATTCAAATGAGTCCACATTCATGGGGTTTTTTTCCAGAAGACTATTTAAAATGAAAATATGCAAATAATTGAAATGAACCACCAATAAGATTTAATGCACATTTATTTTGAAAGAAAAATCATTTGGGGGGGACTGAGAACAATATTTAACTCCGCGAATTTCATTGTAACTCACACACAATAACAACAGTTTAAGTTCCAATATTTACTTGGATTTATGCGAGTTTGACATACTATTAACTGTGCTACTAAAATATTCGTTCGATTTAAAGTCAGATTTCGTATGTTTAGCAAATCATTGCCCCCCTCCAACTTGACATAATTTTCCGTTCAATTAATGGAAATAAGTACATACATATTAACAACATTTATCATTACTAAGTTCATTTTATCTAATAAGCATTAAAAACTTACCCTCATTAATGAAAATGTGAATTCAAAAAAATTCATCTTCCAAATAGAATTTTAATCCAATAAGTTTACTTATTCGGGCTGAACATATGCAATTTATACATTGCTACAGGTTGCCATCAGATATCTGTGAGGACAATTGTGAAACATTTTCCCGATTACGGAAAATTCCATCCACCAATCTTAAAAGCATAATTTTCCCCCGTTTTTTTTATAGTATGTATGAACGTATGGTAAATGATTTCCTTTATTTCTTTTACCGTTACTCAAGCTAGCGATATTTTTTCACGAATTACATCAGCGATTTTCAACTAACAGAGCAATTTTTCTCAGAGATTTTTCATTTACTTACTTATTTCAATATAATGAAACTTCTCTACTCAAAATATGGGTGTAATATTTATTTTGTGTTGTATATCGATATAAATTATAAGAACAGATGTTAATGTAAGTGCTAATTGGAAATAAAAAAGTATAAAAATTTAGAATCACAAAACTGAGTATGAATTGCTATTCGTACGAAATCTTTTTCGGAGATTTTCAAATATTCGAATTGAGATTTTTTGCAAGTATTCGATGAAAAAAAACATGAAGTATTGTAATGTTTTGGGAAGTTAGCAAGAAACAAATTACTAGGTAAATTAGTAAGTATATAATTTATTTTTGCTGGTACCCCTACCTTATTTTGCAAGTTTTAAGAATTGTTTTTCAGGAACATTTAAAAGATTCGAATTCAAATTTTTTTAGATATATATTCCAAGCTTTCACTTCAGTGAAATACATTTTTTTAAATTCAGGTATGATTACTCAATTGGAGATAGCTAGAAAAAAAACCGGAAAACTAAATCAAAAATTTTAATCTTCAAATAAAATAAATAAATAAACGTAAATTATTACATGTTATAAGTGAAATTTAAAAAGAAAATGTGGAAATTCAGCTTAGAGATCAATGGTATAATCAAACCAGAAAATATTTCCGTCTCCAGGAATGAATATTTAAATAGTTTTGAAAATTATTTGAAACAATTAAAATAAGAGACAACAAATTGATCAATCTTACCTTTTGAAAATCAGCGTTAATGAATGAATTCCAATATAAAGGTTTTATATGCACTGAATGAAAATGTTCAAGATGATTTCAAAGACTTCCAAAATCTTTCAGGACAAATTCTATATCATGTCAAATGCAACGAAGCTCATTTGATTATTATGATAAGTAAGAGACAAAAATATGTGCTATGGATCAAACAAGTTCTGGAATCAAACGCTAAATTCGAAGGTCAAGGTAATTAAAAATATTACAATCCCAGCAAGTGTCATTTGATTATCTTCACAATAAAAACAAAAAAGGATAAAGTCGGTTAAATAAAATTCCAATGAAAAAACGAACCCTCAAGATTTTTTTTAATGAAACAATGTCACAGCTAATAAAACCTGAATGTAGATTGCTTACGTATTCATAAATCGATCTAAAAAAAATTCATTCGTCACCAACATTAATTCCTCAAGCCTTTTATTTTTCAGCTGATTGCCGTTTTATAAGCGATAAGTAATAAAATTATATTGTTTCCCCATGCAGGACCAATCATAAGTGTACTTATGATTGAGCAATTCCTTAAGGAACAAGATGAGATGTTCTTAGAATACTTTTTGTCATAGTAATTATTTCTTTAACCAGCTCATTCATCGAAGGAGTTGCTTGGATAATTTTTCCTCCTCTATGACACTTGTAATGAAAATAAATAAGCACAACTTTCCTGTTTCACTTTTGTTCTAGTTATTGCCCGAACAGAACGCTCCTTCCTTTTTTCCTCGTTCAGTCTTTGAAGTCCATAATCAGTTTATATGCAAGTCCTTCAATAATTAGGAAGGGGAAAGTGTACTACCAATAAAAAAATCTATAAAACGAATCATGCGATTTTTTAATAAACGTTCAAACAAAGTTTCCTTCAAACATCTAAAGGGTAAAAAACCCAATTAACCCTTTATAAGAGGTCATTTTTTTTCTAGTAAAGTTATGTTAAAATATTCTTGGGATTTTGACTCTGATTTATAACAAGTAATATAAAAAAAAACTTAAAGTCAATTGCTACTAAGGTCAACAAAGAAAAATTTTATTTTAGCTACTTTTTATTAAATAATTACAATTAATATAAATATGAAAACACATATGACAGAATCAATCGACAGTGACAAAATAGAAAGCAATTTTCAGATCTATATATGGTGTTGGACTATTATTTTTGTTAGTTACTATTTATTCATCAGTTAAATTTAATTATTCAATAACATAATATAGAAAAAAGAAATCACATTCTCAGAAATTAGGCCCTTCCAGGTGGAATTTGAATCCACGACCTTTGGATTAGAAGCCCAACGCGCTATCCATTGTGCTAGAGGGACACAACGAGTGATTTTCCTTTTTTATATATCGTGTTGGACTATTATTTTTGGTTATTACTGTTTATTCATTAATTAAATAGAATTAATGAATTAATATTTGAAAAAACTGCATTAACATCGAGTGTCTTCCACAACAAGTTTTAAAAAACGTATTTTAACTTGAGAGGATATATAAAAAGTATTTTATTAACGATTGAAAATTTGAAAAAGGTATTATATATATGTATGTAAAAAATTTATATAATATATTAAAAACAAGAGTTAATAGATATGAACATAACAAGAATATACACTGGTGCGAAAAACTTATGGCAATAAACCCACCTGTAGCTTAACTTCACGAAAAAACATCTGAGAGACATGAAATTCAGAAATGAGGGAGAGTATTATGTACGTAAAGGATGACGAAAGTATCGGCGCTGAAAAAGAAATACAATGCATACGGTATGGAATCAAACAAAAACAAGCTTTATTGAACGCATAGTATCGTGACTCATGATGGTCTACCCAACAGGAAGAACAACAAGCAGATGTTCCTTAATATGGTATATGCCCTCCCTTCACTGCAATGGATGCTTCGCACCGTCTCCGCATACTCAGAATCAGCTGGGGACCAATTTCTTGCGGTAGGAGTGCCCATTCTTCAATCAGCATCTGTTTCAGTTGTTGGGTGTTCTCCGGATGATGTAAGCGTGCTGCAATGCGTCTCCCCAAAGCATCCCACACATGTTCGATGGGATTTAAATCCGGGGAGTACGCTGCCAATCCATTCGAGTGATATCTTCACTTTTCAGCAGCTCCTCAACAGCAAGAGTCCGATGTGGCTGTGCATTGTCATCCATAAAAATGAAGTCTGGGCCAATGGCACCTCGGAACAGACGCACATGGGGAAGAAGTACCTCCTCACAATAGCGGTCCCCGGTTACAGACCCTCTATCGAAAATGTGGAGCTCAGTTCGCCCGTTCAGCATAATGCCTCCCCAGACAAGAACTCCAGGACCACCGTAATGGTGTCTTTCCTTGATGTTACTGGTATAAAACCGTGTCTCGATCTCTCTCCAAATCAAAACGCGTTGAGAATCGCTTCTGGTACTGAACCGACTCTCATCCGTAAAGAGGACACGACTCCATTGACAGTTGTCCAGTTTTTGTGCTCTCTGCACCACTGTAAACGGTGGCGTCGGTGGTCAACTTGCAACGGGAGGCAGCGTTCAGGACGGCGGGCGAATAGCCCCCTTTGTGAAGGCGTCTGGCCACAGTAAACCGTGACACTTGTCACCCGTTGCTGTAGAGAGTTGCTGAGCAATGACGCTTGCTGACTGCCGTCGGCCTCTTTTCACCTGCAGGATGATATATCGGTCATCCCCTGCAGTTCTCGTCCTCGCGCGGCCACCACCAACCTTTCTAACAGCTGTACCTGTGGTATGGAACGCTTTCCAAGCGCGCGAAATGACACTTTTGTTGATTTCGAATTCTGCAGCTACACTGGTGACGGTACGCCCCTCCTCCAGCTTTCCGATCATTCTTCCACGTGTGAAGTCATCCAGGTGATTTCTTCTAGCCATATTTCACGAACTGACTCGCTGGCACTTGCAGCGAATATGTTGAATTGCGTCTGAATCCTTCATTTTACTTTACTGTTGAACAGCACGCGCCGACATCACGCGTTTTGCGTACGCTCACGTCGCTTCTGACGTTTCGTTCCCGATATTTGCATATGCATGACGTTTCTACTGACTTACGTGTTCACTGTACTGATCTCCAGACCTCCTTTTCTGCAATTTCATGGTTATCTCTCTCTGCTTAATTTTTACATTGTTACTTAAGTTTTGCACACCAGTGTATATATACATACAGGGAGAGTGCGAACGAATAGTAGGAATTAAAAAAAAGAATTTTCACACATTTAGCTTATTATTTACAATCAATTTGATTTTTAGAACCACTGTTTTTCCTTGGAAGTTTGTTTCTCACCACCCCAGGTAATGTATATCTTACATTTTGTATTTTTCTTTTTATGTCGCATCACATACTATTTTAAAAAAATAATTTGTAAACATTAAAATATACTGAAGGAATTATAAAACATATATTTTATCTTAAAAAATTTAAGAATTTATACATTTACTTTCCATGAAATTTCAAAAAAAAAAAAAAAAAAAAAAAAAGCTGATCAATACATATTGAGACATTGGAGATTATAGAAAAATATTTTGTTCTCACGTGTGCCCAAATGGCAATGACTATATGTTTTTTGTCCAGTTGGTATATGGTCCCCAATATTAGTCAAGCGTATGGAACACTTTTCTGGATACTCAGAAAATTTACAAGTCATCCATTGCGCTTGAGATGTGTGGGATAATAACTTCCCATCGACGTTTAAAAAATTAAGTTGGCCGGAAGTGTACTTACCCCTGCCTTATAGAGAGTTAACAGAAAACAAAGCACTGGTACAATGATTTCTCAAAATTTCATAACTGATTTAAAGGGCGATAAGTTTTACACGAGCAATCCATCTAAAAGGTATGCACAAGAAATTTAATTAAGAAAGATGAAGAGCAACAAGGAATTTTATCAAACTAAAATATCTTCACATTCGATTCAATAAACCTTATTCATCCAAAAGTATTAAATTTTGTGTTTCTAAAATTAAACTTTAGTTTTAGGGGTATGAAATTTTTATTAGCAGTAAAATTAAAACTACTAAGCATTTATTTGCCGACTGCGAATAAATAAGATTGAAACATTTGTGTTATTCGCTCTTTAGATTTGTTATTCAGCTGCAAAAACATTCCGGGTCAGTTTATGATTCAAATATTTCAAAAGATAAAGGCAGACATTTTTCACACATTCAGCGTAAACCTATCATTTTGAAGTTATATTTAAAGTATATTACTTTGACGATAATAATTTAGAATATGAAACCAAATTTTAATCTATGTAGAATGCAATCTGAATGGGAGTGACCCCGGAAATTTTTTGTTTTCCTCCTTAAGAAATATTTACCAAAAACGTACTCAACTCAGGGAAGAGGAAGGCTTTAAAAAATGAGAAAGGGAAATATTTGTTGCTGAAGAGAAGATATTTATAGAAGAGAGGGAACTGCTGTTATTTATGAAAAACTACAGGAATATACACGGGTAAAGCTTATTTCTCAATTAGTTTCACGAAGAATTCCAGAGGGGGGGGGAATGAAAGATAGTTTTCTTTAAAAATTTGTTTAATACAAATCAGTTATTCATTTGGTTAAAACTACTAATATTTACTAGAAAGAGATATTTCAGTTTTATCTGTTTCAGTATGATTTTCCCTAATTTTCTATCTATCTTTATCTATATCTCTGTATTTTTTTTATCTTTTTGTATAGATGGAATATATACAATATATATTTCTTTTTTATGATAAAACATCTGATTTTTTACAAATTCACATGCCGAGAAAGTTAAGTACCAAGATTATTGTGCTTGATGTCTAGTTGCTCGAATATCAAAACTAAGACTAAGTAATATTTATTTTTCGCAAAATTTCCAAGTTTTCGGATACTGTCTCAGCTCTGTTTAACGAAGTCGCTAAATCCCGAAAAAAGTTCGTTAAATAGAGATTCATCTTTTAACATACTTCAGAGACCACATAAGACAAATTTAAAATTCACAAACACTATAATATTACTTAAAAAGAGCAATTATTCACACTTTTTTAAAAACTAATATCTATTCATTTAATATATTTTAGCCGTCAAAAAGAATTTGAAAGGAGAACAAGAAAAGAAACATTGTCCAAGAAACACAGAGTATTTTCAACTTTAAAAAATAATTTTATATTAAAATTAATGAACTTTTTAAACGCCATTTGCTTATTTTTTAAACGTTCAAGTAATTTTAAAAAAACTTTATTTTACGAGGGTAGAATTCAAAAGTTCCCGGACGGAACCTAAAACGTGAAAAATTTTTGCAGTACAGCGACTACGATGACATTTCTGGGAGTGTGTGTCACTGCATTCTTCCCCAATTGTAAAAAAGTTTGTCCCAAATCACGTGATCGGTAGCTCACTATGGCGTCGTATTTTGTAGATGGATGCATTTAGTAGTCGACGATTGAAAGAAACTGCGTTTGTTGAGCAGATAATATCAAAATTTGTATTGGCTTAGAAAAGACTTAGGAAATGTTGAAACATGTTCAAGGCAGTGATACATTATTGAGAATGCAAATTTTTGAGTGGCATCAACGTTTTAGAAAAGGGAGGGAAAGTGTCAAAGACGACGAACGTTCTGGTCGTCCAAAGACTTCCCGCATCGCTGAAAACATTGAAAAGTTTTCTGCGGCGGTACGTAAGAACATGCTTCAAACAACGACGGGGTGAAAATGAAAACAACTGTTTCGCCACATCCTTCTTACTCCCCTGATTTCGCCCCCTGAAACTTTAGAATATTTTTAGAACAGGCACATCAATTGCAGGGTCGTCGATTTCAATCTGCAAATGAAGGTAAAAGGGCATCGCAGGCTGAATTACAGGACATGGCTAAAAATGAATTCCAGAAATGTGTTGATGACCTTTACAAGCAATGGTAAAAGTGTGTTGTTGCTCAAGAGTCTCATTTCGAAGGAGGATGTGTTTCAGCAACCTAATTGGTAATATTTTTTTAAGTTATAGTCCAGGAACTTTTGAATTCTACTATGTATAACCAGTAATTTTAAGCATACACTACCATATGTGTCCTTAAATTTAATTACTGATAAAATGTTAATTTTCTTTAGTTAATTGTTTGAAAAGTTAATTTCAGTGCTCTAGGTGGGCACCTAGTGAAACCAGTTCATGGGCATTAATCTCCATGAAATGTGCTAAAAGAGAGGAATCTGAAATTGTCTTGAAAAATTTTAAAAATAGGGTGAACAAAAATCGATTTACAAGAGAAAATGTTCGTTAAATAGAAAATGCACTTCGTTATTTGGAGGTTATTTTACGAAGACAATAGTAAAATGTTCTTGGTTCTGTGGA